AGATTTGGAGTACTTACTATAGAAATAAAAGTCAGCCAAGTAGACACTGTCATTATCTACCTCTACTTCTCATATAGTAAGTATTTTTTAAATGATTAAGTATAAATGTTAGTTAAATGGATAAAATGCAACATTAAACAGTATTTTTAAATGGCTCTTATGTGTATTTAATCTATGGGATCTATCTTAATAACTAAGTGATTATACTAAGGCACTGCTCAGAACATCTATCCCATTACTGTCTGAAAGAAATATAATAGAAGCCACATATGTAATCTTAAAACGTCCAGTCATTACATTAAAAAAAAAGTTACAAGGGAAAGGCATAACTATAATAATAAATTTCATGTATTCCAAAATATCATTTTACCTTATAAAATTATTAATGGAATGTTTTACATTGTTTTATATTATTCAGAACCCACCTACAGCACATTCTAGTTCAGACATTAAGTTTTCATCAGAAATATTTAGTCCATATTTAGATTTTCATGAAAATACAGGTTCACATACCTAGCTTTTCCAAACATACTTAAAAGTTTTCTAGTCACTGAACCAATTACTGATTTTTAAATTTAAAAAACTGAAGTTAAGTGAACTTAAGTTGCACTGGCCACATATTGAGTATTGGCCCCATTTTGGCTACCGCAATTAGACCCCTTTTTTCAAAGACAGAGAAACTGAAGCTCTGAATAGACTTGTCTAAACTCTCAAACTGTGTCAGCAGAGTTGGGACTGGAATTGAGCCTCTGGGTCATCCTTGCTGCCCTCCCCTCCCCATGCTGTTCCCTCCTCACTATGCTATTTTGTGTCTGCCTCGGGAGCCATTTATAGACCTGCTCTGGGAAACAACACATATTTATAGTGTTTGGGCTGATTACCATCTTAATCAGATTGAGGTTTCTACATCACTCTAATTCAAACAAGAAAATGCAAAGTTGCAGTGCCTAAAGTGAACACTGAAGACCCAAATTAATTGTTTAGGGAGAGGACTAAAATAAGTCTGGAGAAAACCCAGCTCATCCAAAAGCGAACTAAGATTTTGGAGACTCTACACCTAGTCATGGGAGCACACAGTATTTTGCAAAGTGCTTTTACAGGCCTGTTCTCACTTTGCCCATCCATGGGGTGTTTGAGAGTGGCAGGGGGGTGTCTTGTCTGTTTTCTAGCCCTAAGAATAAAAACCGGAAGGAGAGGAAAGAAGGTTTACTCATGGCAATTGACATTTGCTATTTGGTTGTGACAGTTGCTCAGGGAAAGTTTCTTTCATCAGAATGACACTGGATTCATTGGAATGAGACAGAATGAGCCATACCTTTACCCAGAGATCTCTTAATTGAGCCTAAGGACCAGTGCACCTGATCCAGATGTGCAGGCAGAGTCATGGTGACTCTGGGCCAGGAAAAATAGTTTATGTGCTTTGACTGGACTCATTGATGAAAGAACTAGCAGGTGTTCGAGAGTCTCGGTGTCTCGTATTTCTGTTTAAATTTTTGGTGTAACCTTGAGCAAACCACATCACTGGTTTTCTCATTCACGATATTGGAACAACTGGACCATGTGGTCTTTAGTATTCCTTCCGGATTTAAACTATTGGTGCTTCTAATGGCATGGTTCTAGATTCGATGGATTGCTCAATTAGGGAGTAAATGTTGGAAGCATGAGAGGAAAGAAAGGGAATGCTTTGTGCCCTGGGCACTCATACCTCTAATTCCGGCAAGACTGAGGTTTGACACATATTAAAGAAAAGGAAACAGAAACACTCAAACTGGACAGTAATGCTGGTAATTCGATGAGTTGGATTAGAAGACTGGGTGAATACCACTGTTTCTCAGAAGCCTCACAGCGTGTGAGCCAGGGCTTTTCTCCGTCAGAATCTCTAATGGGTGTGTTACCTCCACTCCTCTGTGGAGAACTCTCATAGTGTTCACCTATCCTAGACCCCCTAAGGAAGCACACAGATACCTCTAGGAATAGCTACCACATCAGAAGTGGTGCCAGGTGCATCCACGAAGAAGTGTTATCTAGCAGGTCCTTGAATAGTGTCATTTCATTTTATGCTGTTTTGTTACTAAAAATATTGATGAGATGCCATAGGAACTTAACTCTTTTTAAATATAAGTAGGTTAAATATAAATAGGTATTAGCCTGTAATAAAATTGGTTTCATTGTATGTCATTTTGCTTAAAGTTGTAGAACCTATGGACAAAGTTGAGGACATACTGTTAGCATGTCTTGTCCACTTTCAGCTCCTATTTCCATAAAGCTGTGGTGACTCTGCATCTGAGCCTGGTGCCTCGTGTCATAAAGTGTCAGATTCTTTCAACTAATAAACCAGAACAGTTTCTTGAAAGAAGCAGGAAGGTGGGAAGGAGAAAGCATGCACAAATTAGCAAGATGCCGCGATGTTTTCAAAGCACACAGTGTGTTTCAACTAGTTCTGAGACTGCAGAAGTGTTATATCACATGTCTTATGAAATTCATATAACATCTATTTTAAATTTATGTGTAGTTTTAGAATGTTCATGGATATTTTCTTTTTTTAAAATATATTTTTATCGATTTCAGAAAGGAAGGGAGAGGGAGAGAGAGATAGAAACATCAATGAGAGAGAATCATTGATTGGCTGCTTCCTGCACGCCCCTACTGGGGATTGAGCCCACAACCCAGGAATGTGCCCTTGGCTGAAATTGAACCTGGGACCCCTTAGTCAGCAGGCAGACACTCTATCCACTGAGCCAAACCAGCCAGGGCTGCATGGATATTTTCTTTGCTGGTGTTAGGAAGCAGTCACATTCCTAGTTATATTTAGAATGCTTTTATTTATAGTAGTTTTTATATCTTTAAAAATATCATTTTATTAAATCATTAATTTGGTGCTCATGGTCCTTTAAAAATCACTTAGGAAGCTCACCCTGGCCCAGTACCTCAGTTGGAGTGTGGTCCCGAAACACCAAGTTTGCAGTTCCATCCCCAGTCAGGGTGCATACAAGAAATAGAACAATAAATTGATGTTTCTCTCCTTTCTCTCCACACCCCTCCAAATAAATCAATATATATTTTTTTAATTCCTTAGGAAATTCACAGTTTTTAACCAAATCTTCAATGGTAGGGGCATGCTAGCAGTTCAAAGCTATTAATTCAGTATCATTGATTCAGTTAGCATTCTAGAATCATACATATTATATATATATATGAATATAAAGGATATGTTGTTTTAGTAGTCCTATCTAGAACTGCTATAATTTACCCAGAAAATGTAAGACAGAAGCCACCAAGAAAGAAGGTAATAAATTGAGACTATGGAGTTAGGGAAAATCCAGACATATTTTCCCTTTCAAAGCAAAGACTATATTTCTTTTTGTATGTATATGGCTGAATAAAACTCAGTTATATGAACTTCAGGGATTTGAAAGGTAGTCTTTACATTGCTGCTATGACATCCTGAATGGCTTTATCAACTTTCCTAAGCCTTCACATTCTTCTGCTAGTGAAAGAATGGTATTTATATCATACATTCTTCTAATGAATGCTGTGAGTTCATATTTATAAAGAACTATTTACATTTAAAATGGTCTCTGAAATATAAGAAATAGTGACCATCATGCCTGTGATTAAGGCAAAGGAAAAATTACATCTGTGAACTTCACAACCTTTAATCACCCATTTCTTAATCATAATCTTGAAAGAGTTGAAAAATAGAAAGACCTATTAACTCACAAGTGAAATATTCAGTTGGCCATGTTTTGTTCTCTTTGCAAATCATTGACTATATTTAATTAAAAAGAAAATACAAAACTGCTTGACATTCTAGTAAAACCTGGTTACCTCTCCTGCAGGCAGACAAGTCAAAACTGGCTGATATTTAATATTATTATTTGTCTCAGTTTTAGCTTTAATAAATCCAAGAATTTTGAAAAGCTAAAATGTAACTATTTAAACAAATTAAGGGAAAGATACAACTTTGAATTTATTATACAACCTTTTCCAATGAAATTGTGGCAAGAATGAATAATGAATGAAATACAATTGTAAAACTTTTAGAAATATATAGCAATAGAGTCCAGAAGTTTATATCTTATCAGCTAGCAACGAATTGTTCATTACTTTAAAAGGACAGATACTGGGGTAGGAGTAGGTAGTGGTCGTTTCATGATTAAACTGCAAAAAATTACAGCTTTAGAGTTGAAAATTTTACTGGAAAAGGTTGATTGTTTGGACTGTTGATTCGGTATGTGAAAATGGGAAGTGTAGTTATAGATAAATGAGAACTTGAATACAGAATGTAAACATGGAGTTCAGATGAAAAGAGAGATAAACAGAAGTGTCCGTAAGCACTGGCATTCCCCAGTGTAAAAATAAGATACATGGATACAAAATATTTTTTACTTTAACCACAGAAAAAGAAAAAAAAAGGACCACAATAACAAAAGGAGGCCCTTAGTTCAGTTCAAAACAAGGGAATTTAATTTTGGTTCCTACATGTCAGAAGACCCAAGAGGAGGATAGGCAGAGTGTATTCAGAAAGTAGACCAGGAAGGAGTTTAAAGATATTAATATGTGGATTTGCTTACCACAAAAAAAATTTGCACAGTTACAATGGAGTGAACTAATTGGTAAAGGCTGTTCTGCCATGTAAATACTATTCAAACTGTACTCCCAGTATGTGCTGTATTCCATATGTTAGGAATTCCAACCCTTGCTGATAGGGCTGACTATGTAAAGGTAGTTGTCACTGTCTAAATGGAGACAAACTTGGAGAGCAGTTCTGCCCCACAGGAAAGACTGACAGCTTGGAAAGTGACTTGTAAATGGTGCAAATATGAACTTGCAGATGCTTGAGATAAGCATGAGCATTGGTTTAACAAAACAAAGAATCCATTCTGAACATTCTTGGAAACACATAGTCTTTAAGAACTTGGTTGATGAGTTGAAGGAAGTGGCCTAATTGAATTAATGCACACTGGTGGTTTGTTTATTCTACTTAAATGAAGCCAGAGCCAACAATCCTAAAAGTTTTTATTTGTTTGTTTGTTTGTTTTGTGAAAGGGGTAAGAAAGGAAAGGAGGTTGTAATCTAGCCCTACAGCAGGCAGAACAAGGCATAGATCTGGGAGACTTTAAAATGGTAGAACTGACAGGATTGGAAACTGATTGTGATTAGGCTGAGATGTGATGTAGAAGAGGAAGAGAAGAGTCAGGACATGTTAAATGTGAGATGCTTTTTTTTTTCTTTTTTGTTGATTTTATTGGGGTGATGCTGGTTAACAAAAGTATACAGGTTTCAGGTGCACAACTCCACAACACATCTTCTGTATACTGAATTGTGAGTTCACCACCCCAAGTCAAGTCTCCATCCATCACCATTTATACCCCTTATACCCTCCTCCACCTCCCCCCAAATCCCCACCCCTGCAATAACCACACTGTTGTCCAAATCCATGAGCTTTTTCTCATTTTTTTCTTTTTTGTTCAATTCCTCCATCGCCTTGGCCCCCCCAACTCTCAAACCCAAAACCTTTAAATGACATTTAATGCTTCCAGGAATTGGAGCTTACCTATCTATGGATAAACTAGTTTCTTTTTTGTCTGCATTATATTAATTGAAATTGTCCTGTTAAATAAATCTAAAATGGCCCCAATATCTAATTTAGAATAAATAAATTACTTGACTTTCCTCCACAGAGATACTTTGCTGGTAAATGGAAAAATAAAGTTTAGTGGTTTGATTCATTTTACATGGCATCAGTTACTCTCTGTCATTCCAATACAATAGATTCTAGAAGATATAGTAAATTAGGATCTTAATAAGCCAAGTCAGTTTTAGCTATCCCCACTCATTACCTTATTCTCCTCACTGTAATATTTTAGCACAGTTAAAAAAAGAAATCAGAGCCTCTACTTACAGAAAATGTAATCTTAAAATATGTGAAATACCTGAACTTATGATCAATTACTAATTTTAAATAACACCACATTAATTTAAGAACTATGAAAATCCATTCTAATATACTAAGAAGTTTTTCCTAATAATCTAAACCTCTGTTGATCCCCACCCATTTACAGCAGCTATACCGGGTAGGCCAGATCTAGTCTGCTGCTTGACTCTGCATAGCCAGTCAGCTGGGGTTGGTTTTTATAGAAGAACACTTGTGGTCTATACGATGATAGAGAATGCTGACTTTTGATCCCTAAATAAGCAAAATGTTGACCCCAAATAGAGAATTCTATTCTTCCTGTTGGTACACCTGTATTACACAGAAAATTCAATTCAATTATTATGCAAAAGATGTCATATTCAATTATTACATTTTTAATTTTGTGATAAAATTTTTGTGGAAATTTGTTTTCCATTGTATAAATGTACATGAATAATATCCTTAATTTTTGCCTCTTGGCATGCAGAATCTAAAATATTTACTATCTAGGTCTTTGCAGAAGGTGTGACCCCCTGATACATTTTTTCTCATTCATTTATTTTTTTAGTCATTCATGCATCAGATCAGCAAATAGCTTCTGAGCAACTCCCATGTGCCGGACACTGTTCTAGGCCTTTGCGACAGAGTTGGGAACAAGATTTTATAAAAATCCTGCCCTCATGAAACTTACATTCAAATTATATACATTATCACTTCACTACTGACCTGTTCCATTATGCCCATTCCATATACTAGTATAGGCAAATCGAGGTTCAGAAAATTTGTGTAGCTTACCTGCAGTCTCTCGGCTGAATTGAACCCGGTTATGCCTGACTCCAAGGCTTGAGCCTTGGACCAGTGGGCTGGACTGGCTTCACAGGTGGGGCTCCATGCTTGGTGTAATGTTAATTCCATTACTATCTGAATTTTGTCAAGGGTAAGAGTTGGCTCTGTCTCATCTTAATTTACTTCCATGAAAGAGAAAAATGTTTACCATCAACACTTTCCTCATCTATATGCACTTGTAAATTTTGAAATAGATATTAGATCTGAATTAAACAGAACACAAGAACTGACCTGTTCTAATATAAGGAAATCTTTTATCTGGCAGTCAATGACTGCAGCACTGATGTCTTTGAAGGATACTCCTAGTTGACTGTATTTAAACAGATGCTTTATCTTTCTCCCTTTCAATTTCTTGCAGCCTAGTCATTGTTGGATAAGCAAAATGGTGGAGCAATTGTCAGTCAGCTTGACTGATCTTCTGGACAAGTTTTCAAATATTTCTGAAGGCTTGAGTAACTATTCTATCATAGACAAACTTGTGAAAATAGTAGATGACCTTGTGGAGTGCATGGAAGAACACCCATTGGAGGTAACCTTATATTCATTGGGATTGGTTTCTACTACTCTCCTCTAAAACCTATATTGATGGTGGTGGTGGGGATGGGGCATCTTTGTTTGTGTGATTATTATTGTATAAATTTGTAATTTAAAAATATTTTGAAAGATGAGTACAGAAATATATGTTTGTAGTTATACTGCAGTGTTGAAATATACATTAAGACTTAAAAGTTGTCATTTAATGTAAAAATTGATTTACACTGCAATGTAAAACCAACCCTAATTTTATCTGTATTTCATAAGTGAATGAAATTTTCATAACTTTTCTATTAGGTTACAAATGTTCATTTACCTTTAAATGGAAAATTGTCTGTAATGAACATTTAAACTTGACTCTTATCCATAGTAATCACGTCATAACGAAGAAGTACATTTTAGTATCTCCAAGTCATTTTCTGATTAGTTCTTGTCAACTTCAGAATATGGGCATGGCAATAATTTGGGTTCTAAGCATATTGAAAAGACAATAGGATTAAGTACAGTACAAGGTGTTGGGGTTCAGATCCTGACTTAGTCACTAATTAGCTTTGTGAACTTTAGTAGAGTTGACATGAGATGTTTGTGATGAGTGCTTTATCACTGTATCTGGCAAAATAAAGATTAATAAATATTTTTGTGATGATGATTTTATAACTTTGAATCTATAATAGAATAGGATTCAGGAGATATGCTTGGGCAGAGTTCACAAGCCCAGATTTAGCCTACAGGCCTTTTAGAAGTTTAAACCTATGATTTTAAATATGATTCTGTACCACAATGCTCAAATATTTCCTCCTCATCAAAATTCCAGTTACACTGTAAGGCCCAATATCAGTCCTATTTGTGTTCTCCAATCTCAGAATTCTTGTATGCTAGTAAACCTAATCACTTATTTATTCACTTCTCATTTCTGAGTCAGAATGTATCTATATATATAAAAGCCTAAGTGACTGCCCGACCGTTCAACTGGTTGCTATGACATACACTGACCACCAGGGGGCAGACACTCAATGCACGAGCTGCATCCTGGTGGTCGGTGCGCTCCCACAGTGGAACTGCTGCTCACCTGACCGACAAGCACCAGATGCCCGGCTCACAGCTGGTGCATTTCTGAGTCAGAATGTATCTATATATATAAAAGCCTAAGTGACTGCCCGACCGTTCAACTGGTTGCTATGACATACACTGACCACCAGGGGGCAGACACTCAATGCACGAGCTGCCTCCTGGTGGTCGGTGCGCTCCCACAGTGGAACTGCTGCTCACCTGACCGACGGGCACCAGATGCCCGGCTCACAGCTGGTGAGCACAGCTGCGGTGGCATGAGCCTCTCCCGCAGACACTCCCCCTGCACGCCTCTCCCCAGTCCAGACCAGGCCAGGATCAGGATCAGCATCAGGACTGACTGGGCACAAGATGGCGGCCGCTTGTTGGTCATGGGCGTGCTGATATCGCCCTAGGACGGGCACACAGAGACCGCAGCGGAGTGGCAGTGAGCCTACCAAGCGGCAGCAATGGCAGGCACAGTGGGGCCAGGATGAGCAGGATAGGCGCGACACCTGGCCGGGCTCAGGCTCCTCCCTGGCCACCTGCCACTTCATGCACTACTGCGTCCCTTGGGGGGATGTTGGACTGCCGGTTTCAGCCCAATCCCCTCAGGCCACACCGAGGGATCCCACAGTGCATGAATCCATGCACTGGGCCTCTAGTCCTATGTAATAAAAGGCTAATATGCAAATTGTCCCCTCAATTGGGTGTTTGACCAGGGGGCAGGGCTGGCTGGCCAACCTCCTGCAGCCCCTCCCCCTGGCCAACCCTGCCCCCAGTCACCACCCCCCAACCCAATTGGGGGGGGGGAGGATGGCCAGCCAACCTTCCACAGCCCCTTCTCCTGGCGGCCTGGCCCAATCAGCCCCAATTAGGGCAGGCCAACCAGACCCTACTCGTGCAGGAATTCATGCACTAGGCCTCTAGTCTTATAATGAATAACATCTTAAAATTAACATCTCTTTTTATATCATATTAGTATTTTGTGCTGATGGCATTGATAATAAGTAGGGTATATCAGACAAGGTGTCATAAAGGAAATAATATATGTAGTGGAGCTTGAAAGATGAGTTAGGTGTTCAGTAAATGGTGATGTCAGGAAGAACATTCCAAATACCAAAGAATGTGCCTTTAATCATCATGATGCTTTGGCTGGAACCCAGGAGATTCATACCAGGAGGTATTTCTCAGTTGTTTCAGAGATTGAGTAAGCATATATAAAGCACTTAGAGAGGTACATAGTAACTGCAACATAAGTGTTAACTCGTATTATTTCCTAATTTTCTTTATAGATAATCATGCATTTGTGAATTCCTAAAATATAGCTTTGATCTGCTTTTAGGGGGACTTTAGAACTTAATCATATTCTTTATTCTTTTGTGACTTCTTTCACTGAGCATCATGTTTGTAAGATTTACGCACTTTGATGTATATAGCTCGGTTACTTTTTTACTGCTTATATAGTATTCCATTGATTGAACACACCACTATTGATTAAACCATTCTCCTGTTGATTGATGTACACGCATTTATAGACACTGCCGGTAAGAACTTTCCTGTATGTCTCATGGTACAGAAATGCAAAGCTTCGCTAGAGGCCTTACCTAGGAGTGGAATTTCTGGGTCACAGGATGGGCACATGTCCAACTTTACAGCTAGTATCAAACCTGCCAAATTTACATAATTCCATCAATTTGTAAGAGTCCCTTAGCTCCATCCATGTCCTTGCCAATATTTAGCATCAATTGTGTTATAGAGGTCTGTTTTGTTTTGTTTTTTAGTAAGGAATGATGATTTTAATGAGCATCTTAAAAGAGCAATATCTCTAATTTGTTGTTAGGATTATTTTATTGTTATGATGTTGAATTCACCTGCCCACCCTATTCCTTTTATCTGGAGTTGAGCCTCAGACTAAACTGGACAGGATATCTATCCTGCTGTACCTATGTGAATTATGTATATTAACAAAATTGTCTAAGAGAGCTTGTTTTCCTTGCATCATTGAAGGACATAGTCTTTTACTTTGCCATCAGTTAAAATCTGTAGACTCTTTGAAAAATATAATCCTGTTTTTGTCTTCTTCTAGAATGTAAAAAAGTCATCTAACAGCCTAGAACTCAAGATGTTTACTCCTGAAGAATTCTTTAGAATTTTTAATAGATCCATCAATGCCTTCAAGGACTTGGAGATAGTGTCATCTAAAACTAGCGAATGTGTGTTTTCTTCAACATTAAGTCCGGACAATGGTAAGACATATAAGATTTTCTAATTTAACTGTAAAAGCAAGCTTGATTCTCATATGTGTAGGTAAGAACCTACCTCTGAATCAAATATATGTGTAGTTAGAGAAAGATGTATGTGTGTTTTGTCTAATATAAAAGCAAATGTCAAGCATAAAAGAAATGGTTATAGATTTGTTTTTCAAACCAAAACAATTAATGATTGTCAGATTAAAGAATTGTGTGTGAGTAAACAATGAACGAGATAGTCACTCATGTTTTTCTTATCTGCCATTTGCCAGTAATTTATAATTATGTTATTCTTCACCTCCCATCTTCTTATGTCCCCGTCTCAAATCTTTTCTAAAGGATCTAACTCTTGAGGCATGAATTCTGGTCTTCACTAGTTACTCTCTCTTGAGACTCTTTCTCCCCCACCTCCTCCCCAGGGTTCCTATAATACAAAATCTTAATTACAGTGCTTTTCTTTTAAATGGCAATTACGAACCATTTGCAATTTTACATTTATCAGCCTGGGTAGACAATGAACCTTTGTTCTATAAGGTGACTGGTGAACTTCTTAATAAAAATAGAACAGCAAGAACCAGGATGAAATAAATAGGATATGAATCATCGAGATTTGGGAAATAGACCTGAAAAATACTCTGGTATTGCACTCGACCTTTTGGGGACTCTGTAATTTATGTAAATCATCGTGCAACACTGACACATTATTGCTTTCTATTTAGATTCCAGAGTCAGTGTCACAAAACCATTTATGTTACCCCCTGTTGCAGCCAACTCCCTTAGGAATGACAGCAGTAGCAGTAATAGTAAGTACATGTATCTGATTTAATGCATGCATGGCTCCAATTAGCACCTCTGGGAGTATTGCATGGGCTTTAAAGGAAATTCTGCAATTATTGCTGTGAATACTGTTCCATTACTGTTCTTCCTATTATGGTCTTCCTGAGATTTAAGGACTAGACTTGTAGAATTGGGTTTCCCAACAGCTGGAGATGACAATGAGAGAATTGGGCCAATAATTTTTTTGCTAAGATTATTTTAAATAAGGCATGAAATTACTTTTATAAATATGATTTAAGCTTTTTTCATTGTTGACTTAAAATTTATTCCTTGTAGAATTTGCCTGAGTTTTACAACAGAAAGTATAAATGCTAGTTGTGTGGAATTCCAAGGATATTTTCAGTTTTGTATATATCACTATTTACTAGTATGTGTGTGGAAATTTGATGATTTTGTTATTTCACTATAAAATTATATGTTAGAAGAGAATATGCTTTTTCCCCTGCAATTCCTGTCCTCTTTGACCAAGAGCTTAGTTTCCTGGAAGTCTAATATCCTCTTTTTAAATCTAGGCAAAGATCATTAGATTTACTAAATATTTTGACCCTCAAGTCTCATGTAAGAGGAAAAAAATCATCCTGTGATCTTAGCTAAGAAAGTCATCCCTTAAGATTTATTAATAGGGCACTGTCATATGTGTAGGGACATAGAAAACCTATCTATAAAAAGAAGTAATCCATTAATTACAAATCCACAATAGCAATTCTACATTCATAAATCTTTAAAAAGACCCTCTAATATCCAATTTGTTTTGGAATTTTTGCCACCAAGTTGAGATGAGGCTATTGATAGTCTTTATTCTTCTTAAAGTGACTATTTATGCATTTCACTGTAGAAATATTAATGTGTTTGATTGCAGGTTGCTACCCAGACCTCTCTGAGGAAATAATATAATACACAGTATATGCAGGGCAGAATCCAAAACCTAAAATTCTGAATTACAGGATACTTCAGATCTGAAAAGTTTTGTAAAGGGATTGTATGTGTGTTAGTCAATTAAGGTCTTCCTACTAATTATCGATTTTATTAATCTTTTCAAAGAAGCAATTTTGGGCATCTTAAATTATATTTATGTATATTTCATTGATTTCTAATCCTTATTATTTCCTTCATTCTGTTATGGGTTTAATTTGCTTCACTTGTTCTAGCTTCTTAATGTCTCAAGGTGGAAAATTTAGATTGCTGACTTTAAAATCATTCTTCTTTTCTAATAGTAGCACCTTAAAGATATGTCTTTGTAAACAGTTTTAGATGCACCCCACACATTTTGATATGCTGTTTCCACTGTCATTTCTTTAACAATATTTTAAATTCTCCTTGTGATTTCCTCTTTGATTCACGTGTTGTTTGAAGTCTAAAAATGGATTTTCTCTAGATGTCTTATTGTTACTGGTTTCTAAATTAATTCTATTGTTGGAGAACATGCATTGTAACATTTTGAAATTTGACTATGTCTATTATTCAGATATTATGTGTAGCATTCTCAAATTTAATCAGAGTGGTTGATAGTGTTATTCGGATTTTTTATATCATTATTTGTCTAACTTTTGTCATTTACTGGGAGAGGGGAATTAAAAAAATCTTTCATTGTAGATTTGGCATTTTTTTTTAAAGCATATCTCTGGTAGACAGGATATAGTTGGGCCTTGCTATTTTATCTAGTTTTTCTGACATTTAAAGTTTTTTCATTCATTTATTTATATTTGATACAACTATTGGTATGGTTGGGTATGGGTTTACTGTTCTTGTTATGTTTCCTTTTTGCCCTGTTTATTGATCCTCTGTCCTTCCTTTCCAGCTCTTTTTTAGGTTTAAGTGTGTGTGTGTGTGTGTGTGTGTGTGTGTGTGTGTGTATTGTATTTTAATTAATCTGTTCTGAGTAGCACTATCAAATCTCCCACTGTTCTTGTCCATCCCACTGAGACATCCTGTATCCATTCTATATATACTACCTGCTTTTTAAGTCAGTAGCCAGAAAATCTCTCCATTCTTGCTCATCAGAGCTGTTCGGGTCTCTGATGAAGTCATAGCTGCCCAGGCATCATTCAGTGCATCGGCAGGCCCTGTGAAGTCTCTCCCTGTGCACGTGCAGCCTATTATTTGACCGATGGCTTACGCAGACCCTCCTGGAGCTTCCTGGCACTCCTCTGCTCAACGCCTTTCCTGCAGCTCACCCTGCTCCACACACTCCAGCCAAACCAGCAACCCTGAACTTCAGTCTGAATCCCTGTCTCAGTGAAAATTCTGAGTCCCACTTGGGTTCTGTCTTCCATGCCTCAGTGCCTCCCAGCCAGAAAATCAGGACCGTTTGGGTTTCACCGTGTGTGTTTTTGCTCTTTCTCGTCCGGCCTGTTGGCTAATGTCTCAAACAGTTGCCTGAGATAATTTGTCTAGTATAGTAATTCTTTAGCTTGGGAAGGCTAATCTGCTACCATCATGGTTGGAAGCAAAAGTCTTTTCTACTTACTTTAAATGACTAACTGAATGCAGAACACCCATTCAGTCCTATGCTTCTGAGTCTGAATGTGCTTTTTAAATTGCAAAATGAATGGCCAGTCCTTTTGTGTGTTTATTTTGCTTTCTTTTTTCTTCCTTTTTATAAAAAGTATGGGTCTTACATAATAAGCAGCTTTTGGCCGGGTGATGTCACTCAAAAATGGGACACTTAGGTACCCAGGCACAAGACCAGCTCTTAGGGAGCTTGCACTCTCATAAGAAAAACAGACATAAATGAAATACTTAGAATTTTGTCATACATACCAAATATACAGTGGACCCTTGAACAACACAGATTTGAAGTGTGCAGATCCACATACAGTGTACATGGATTTTTTTTTCAATAAATACTTGTACTATTTTTGATCTGAAGTTGGGAGTTCATGGATGGGAAGGTAAACTGTATGAACGGATCTATGCCATTTTACATAGGGGACTTGCGCATTCCCAGATTTGTGTATCCACAGGGAGTCCTAGAACCCCTCCCCATTGACCTGTCCCCCTTGGATACCAAGGAGACTTAAGTTTTGGGGGAGTCAAAAGTTATACTCAGATTTTCGACTGCCTGAGGGGTTGGTTCCCCTAACTCCTACATTCAAGGGCCAACTTTATATTATAATATATACAATAATAGACATATGTAACTGTTTTAGTCATAGCATAAAGGAGGAAAGACTGTTTTGGAAATAAGGTCAGGGAAATATGGAGAAAGCACGCTAGTTTTCAGAGATGACAACCAAAATGTAACCGTGCTAAGCAGAGGACTGGGCCATATGAAGAAGTAGTCCAGAGATGTGTGTGTCCTCTCTGTAGCTTGTAAAGGCGATCCAGGTTATCCAAAGGAGTTGTATTTTCAAAGTCATAGTAACATCTTTGTACCAGGCTAAAAGGATATCTAAAAATGTTTGAGATCCTTGCAGACAGTATTTAAGTGATGTAGAAAGATATCCTTGCTTTGACATTACCGTATACATCTTCTTCAAGAAATACAGTCTCAAGTCAGACTGCCTTGGGGTTATATCCCAGCCCCTGCCTGGCTGTGTGACCTTGGCCAGGTACTTAACCCCTCTGGACTCCCCAGTTAAATGGAGCATAATGCATCCTTCATAGGGTTTCTGTGAATTTCAATTGTCAGCACACATATACTTGGAGCCATGTCTGATGTGTAGTATGTGTTCATCATTAATTATTAGAACAACTGGATGCACTGAGGCTGTGGGTCAGTGATTGGAAAGCCTGTGAGCTTTGGGTCTGAACCCAGGAGCAACACCGCGTAGCATGTTTGCTAAGCACCGAGAGATCCCTGTTCACAGGCGTGGTACTTACAAACTCACTCTAAAAAGGCACTCCACAAATTCGAAGCATACTTTTTGTGTTGTGTATTTGTACAGATGTTGGGTATTATTAGTCAAACCAAACAAGTCATTTCCTACGAATTTTGGACAGTGGAAAGTTTTTGTAATACTGAGATACAGTTAATATGTTAACAACCCAGGAATTTGGGATTACTCAGATCCTATCCAGATGAGCTCCCTCACTCCATACGGTTTCTTTGAGCAACCTTTACTTAAAAGCAAAGCTTTGTTACTGGCTTGGGCTTTGGCCCCAAGCACCCTTACGTAGGCCTTGAGGAGCCTGATTCAAATCTTACTGATCCTTGGAAAGCAGCAGGAGCAAGTGTCGGGAGTCAGGCCCTAGAAGTACAAGCAAGCCTTTTCTGATAACAAATTTTTCTCTCCCTGCAAGAGATACGGCAGTGAGAACCAAAGACTTGGATATTAAGCTACTTGAATTAACAGAAGCAATCACAAAATTGAGGAAACCTTGACCTCTAGACCTCTATGGGAGGTGAAGCTCAGTTCCCGTGGTCCCATTCCCTCCCGGTCTTCACCAGGCTGCTGCTGGAGGGATAGGCAGTTTTCAGGGCTTTGCTGAGGGCCAGAGTCCTGGGTGGGACTTTCCAAGTGGTTAAAAGGCCACAGTACTCAGAGAGAGAAGTAAGATTTCCTCCTTAGGGCTTTGTTTAAAACACCTGCCTTAGGGGCTTGTCCTTCTACCTGAGAAAGATTTTAAGTGGGGAATCCCAGAAGACCTCACTCTCTAGTAAGTTCCTTATGCTTTTTTGCTGGTGGCGGTGGTCTCTGCTCTGGTCTGAATGGTGCAGTTCAAGATTTGGCCTTTGGATAAAACAGGGCAAACGGCATTCGGCTGCCTTGATTCCAGGGCATGTGGCTGCTCGAATGTAGCTCATGGCGTTCTGCATAGCACCATCCTAGCTCATTGCTTTTCCATGGGACCTGGGGGGCAAAAGTCAACAGCTTCCTTTGTTCTCACTTTAGACATTGGTCAGGGCTCCTCAAGGAGGTGACCTGGTCAAATTTATCAAAATTACACCCCAGTATCGAGTGTGGGTCACAGCAGGTTGACTGGTAAGGAAAATTCAAACACGTTACTGGAGTACACACACAGAGTTTAATCATTTATAGACAGTAAAATAAAATTCCTGAAATGGTAGGAATTGCATGTAAAATTCTGAACCCATTTTCTTTTAGGAAACACTTTTATAAATGGTGGTTAAATCCCAAATTAGTGCACATAACCCTTGAAGTAACTATTATTGTAATAATAGTAACACTTCAGTTATACAAAATCCCATTTTTTACCTCAGACTTATTTTGGTGAGGGAATTCATGTTGAGCTCCAATTTAAGATGCCTAAACTGTATTTCCCATGGGGATTGTAGGATGTGGGCTGGACCAGAAAAACTGCTAATCGAGTCTTAAGGAAGCCATTCATTGTTATGTGAATGGAAGACCCCACTTTCCTACCCAGTCCCACTGTCCCTTACACTACATTCCCACCATCACTCACTGCCCCCCAACCTGCGTGTGCGCAGGCGCGCGTGCACACACACACACACACACACACACACATCCTATTACCAGAGCCTCTTTGGAAACAGGAATCATAAATTTGGCAAATTTTCTACTTTCACTTTATAAATGATGGGAAAATAGGCAATTCCTGTTCTCACTAGAGTAGATAAGATTTGTTTCTTGCCTCTCAGGTTAAATTTATGAGTTTATTTTTTCCTAAATATTGCTAAATCTACAGTGATTCAGTTCTTTTGTATTATGTTCTATATTTAGGTACTTTATATGTTAAATAGGTGAGTGTAGGGGCTGACAGTAACTCAGATAACATGGTAAAATATCATAGCCCAAAGCAGTTGCTTTATCTTGGATTAGTTTACATTTTGATCAATCATTGAAACTGTATAATTTCCAAACTTATTGCATCTTTAAAAGAAAACTGAGATTTTTAACTTCCAAAATGGCACATGTCACTGTTTCCAAACAACAAAGCTGTTCCCTGTCAAGAAACAGAGAAAACTCTGTCAAATGTTAAGCTTTGTGTTGGGAGGTAGAGACCCTTGTGGGAGAAGTGTTTTCTTGAAGTTATGAATCATCCTGCTTCTATTGGAAGAGCAAAGCAGGAACAAGGAAGGTGTTCCATGCTAACATATGTCTTCTCTCTCACTAAGTTATTATTTAGAGTAAGCAATGGGAGACACTGGTGCTTTCAGCCGTTTGTTAATGTTCAGTAGTGTCAGGCTTTTCAAAATAAGAATTCTGAGAAATCACACCTTAGTGGGTAGAGGTGGGGAACATCCGGCCCAAGGGCCATATAAGGCCTGCAAAATCATTTGGTCTGGCCCTGCCAAGGCATTAGGGGTGAGTTAATTAAATGTTTGACCAAATATAGCAGGCTAATTTTTAGTTGATAAATTTATATGGCCCGCAAATGATGTTATAAATATCTAAATGGCCCTTGGCAGAAACAAGGTTCCCCATCCCTGCTTTAAGCCCATAGCACAGAGTCAGTTACTGCCTGCCATCCAGTAACTGTGTGTTGAAGATGCAATGAGAGACCGAATGATTCTAAGCATACGGTACCGAAAACTAATCTAACCACAATGCATGCAGAATGACAGTGCTTGCAGACCTTCATCTGGATTACAAAATATCATCTTTACAAAATTGCTTGGGTAGATATCAAGAATGAGAAAGTGAAAGATATTAGAAGATAAAGCCACAGAAGATGGATTTGCTTGATAGTACAAATCACCCTCCCAGCCCCAAACCCAGGAACGCATCCCGTCTGCATCCCCTCTGCATCTACATCAACCAAGTCAAATTTCCTTTTGTCTGTGGGTTTTTTCTCCTTTTCAATTTATTTACCTTTTGGAGACTGCATGGATTTATATTGCCACTCCCAAACAATGCTCCGCAGAAAAATCATGGTTTAAATATTTTAAACAGAGAGAGGTCAAGAGCGTGTTACAGAAACAGGTGGGAACTGCCAGAGCAATAGAGCAGAACCCCAGCATGGCGATGCTGTGTTCACCACTGTGCTATTTAAATTACAGGGAAGGCCTTGAATTCCATTGGAGACTCCAAGCTGCAATGGGCAGCCATGACGTTGCCAGCATTCTTCTCTCTTTTAGTTGGCTTTGGTTTTGGAGCCTTATACTGGAAGGTAAGTGTTGTTTTTGTTTTTCTTGATCAGAAACTTTCTGAACTTTATATACTTACTACTTCTTACTCTAGTTACATAAGTGATTAACACACAAACTGCCCTTTTCTGAGAAAGGATCTCACCACGAAAATGATAAAATAAATGAAGTTCAACCTTAACTTAGTTACAAGAAAATTAAAATCTTAGAAAGGTTTCTTCCCATCACCTATTATGCTTGGGAGACCACTCCTCTGGCCGAGAATGTAGACAGAAGAAATGCAACTGGTTTTAATAGCTTTAACTAAATATAAAATGGAAGGAGAATATGCTGAAAATCTTACAAAGCCAAACAGAAATGTCATTTGTATTATCCGCTAATTTGGATTTCTACTCCTCTGTTCTCTTCTATTGAAGCCTGTCTAAAAGTTTAAAATGTGCTAAATCATTGTGACTCAGCTTTTTGAAATTTCTTTTGGATTTGATTACTGTTTAAATCTTTCAGTTTCTTTATTACGTTTTTGCCTCCCATATTCTAAAAATGTTGAGTCGATAATACCATGCATTTCTTATCATTTCTTAATGGAAAAATATTTTACATGCTGCATGCTGAAGACAACTGTTACTGGAGTTATTAACAAAAGATAAAGGTAGAGACCGCTAACCTCTGAAATAGTATATTATGCACTGATATGTTTATGATATGTATCACTGTTCTTTTTCCAGAAGAAACAACCAAATCTTACAAGGACAGTTGAAAATATACAGATTAATGAAGAGGATAATGAGATAAGGTATTTCGTTTTACTAAGTGTGTGCACCAGTACCTTGGCATTGGCATTTCATGTACCATACACATGCTCATAATACCTTTAAGAAGTGGTTCAGCCTAGCCGGTTTGGCTCTCTGGATAGAGCATCAGCCTGGGGACTAAAAGGTCCCAGGTTCGATTCCGGTCAAGGGCATGTACCTTGGTTGCGGGCACATCCCCAGTGGGGGATGTGCAGGAGGCAGCTGATCGATGCTTCTCTTTCATCGATGTTTCTGACTCTCTATCCCTCTCCCTTCCTCTCTGTAAAAAATCAATAAAATATGTTTAAAAAAAATAAGTGGTTTGCTCTTATAATAGCATCCCCCAGCCAGGGCCCTCCAAGACTTTGTCGACACTTCTAACCCCTCACTCCTTCTTCAAGCCCACATCTCCATTTAGCTGTAGAACACCTTCACAGCCCTTGGGTGTCAGAACTGGTCCTCTCTACTTTATTTCTTGCTCAGACTCCTGGTCATGGAGCTCGGTAGGCACATTTGCTTATTCTTCTTTTCCACTCTGTTACCAAGACATACTGATTCCTCTCTCAAACCTCTCACAAGCTTAGCTTTTTCTTAGGCCATAGTGATTATCTTCATCCAAATCTTTATTATGTTTTGCCTGAGTTGCTGCCACAGAATGTTTTTTTTTTTCTTAGCCCCTCTAAACTCTACATTTGTCTCATTCTTCCTTAAATTTTGGCTCATAACACCACTTCCAAGTCAAGATACTTTGTTACTTTTCTCTCTTGCATACTTAATATGTTTGCCATCATTCTAGTTTGTAGAGCCCTTAACTTTTCCCAACCTATTATTTTCTCCAAAGCCAAATATAAAAATTATTTTAAGATACCTTTCCATTTACTGTAGCTAACCCTTATCATTTGTTTATCTTATGCCATATTGCCCAATACTGATACTTTGATTTTATGTTCAGGTTTGATTTTCATCTGTCATGTTACTATCTCTCAAATCATGCCTGTATATACAGATTCACATGTTAAATACACGTAAGCATTTTTAGTATGTGTATATGCATAGAGAATGTAAAAATCTACTTGGGAAACTGTATTGAGGCAGATAAATTCTTCCCTCATCCTTATGGTTATACGTATGAAGGTAAGCTTCCTACTCAACTTTGCAACCTTTTGTTATTGTGTTTATAGAAAAAAAAGACCTGCCTTTTAAAATGCTTAGGTCATGTCAGAATTTCTGTCCAAAAGCAAATAAGCATTTTTCTTGTTGTTTTTCAGTATGTTGCAAGAAAAAGAAAGAGAGTTTCAAGAAGTCTAATTGTGGCTTGTATCCACACTGTTACTTTCGTATATTGGTAAGTTTTTAGAAGGCAAGCTGAAATATTTAACAAAAATTACACAGCCAAAATTTCGAAACAAAATGTATTGTCTCCGATTGAACTGATATCAGTATGTGAACTGAAAGGCTCTGTCATCTTTGAACTGTACCTTTCAAATCCGTTGTTATTCTGAAGCTTTGAAAGGCAAAGCAGTGCTAGTCCTGGCCCATGGATTCATCTGGTATGGGAGATTGTAAAAAGTCAACAGATAAGTGTTTACTATTTTTGAGGCCAGAAAATAAATTACACAAGGGAATAGAGTAAATTGGGACTAAAATAAAATATTATTAATAGGGGAAGAATAAATAAAATCAATTTCAATTAGGTGTAACTACTATTAACGATAGAAAAAGTATTTCATTTGTTAAATGCTGAAAAGAGCAAAAACTAAAAACATTTCCTTGCCATCTTAAGGAAAAAGAGAAGAGGTCAAAATATCTTATAGTCAGGAGAGGGGAATTGTCAAGGTGAAGTGCCACCTGCCACATGCCTGGTAATCATTGTGCCTCATCACAGTACAGAGTCCAGGATGCGCTGAATATTAACTACTGACAGATGCCCGCTGTGGTTGTGTAGGTCTGCAGAGGGCTGGGAAGCTGGGGAAGTGAGAAAACATGTCTGGAAGGCACTGGTGTTCAAACTCCAGACACTGTTGGGGGAGCCCCCTGAATGGCACTAACCTGGTCCAGCATGGATGGATTCATGCTCTTCTCACTTACACTTCTGCCAACGGGCTCTTAATATTGTTATGCCCGTGGGATCCTGAGCACATTCATTACAGCAGGGTCCAAGTGTTCTCTCATGCTCCTTAGTTCTTCCCATACTCTCTCGTGACCACTAACTCTCCCAGATGGTACAGTCATTGGTGATCCTGGCTTTTTCCTTACAGGCCACTGTCCTTCCAACTTTCACTTCTGTCCCCTATTCCGACATCTAGCTCTAGATTGAAACTTCGCCAGGAAAACTGGGTCACAGAGCCTTTGCCTCCTCCAGGAGCGCTCACTGTTATAGGTATAGAACATAGTTTTCAAGATCCAAAATCACATGAGACACTAATAACGATGCCCCACATTTCTCTAACACTTTAACCTTCTACTGCACAGACTTCATCTTTGCCTTTAAACATGCTCTTGATCACTGTGTCCAAAGCATGACTCCTCACTTCTTTCTAGGCCGATTTTCCCTGTGATATGATGTAAATGAATACAACCCTAGTGCAACTCTTTTTATTTTTCTGGAGTCACATTCCCCAAGATGAAGTCATTGTTTTTGCCTAGAAATCTATTTCTCTGTCCCCAACCCCAACACAAGCCTCACTGTATCTTCCCTTTCTGCCATTTCAGTCCCCTAAGCCAGACATCCCAAATCACACATTAAATAGTTAATTGAGTCGTAAAGCGCAAGTATTGTCCTCTGTTGTGTGGTTTTGGATTGCACTGCTGGGATCCTGTTTTGGCACACGGGTCTTTAATCATGTGTTTTTAATTGTAGCCTTTGTCCTGTGACATTTGGAGAGTTGATTATGTGGTGGGAAAACCCAGGGCACTTGTTTAAGAGACAAAAACATGGCATTTTAAAGCAATTGTAGTCAAGCAACTTACGCATCAGTCTACTAGCCAGGGGAGCATTAAGGACAGGAACCAAGCCTGTCTGGTTCTCGCTGTAGTTCCTCACTGGTTTCCAGTACATTATAGACTCTCAGGAAGTGTTTGCTGAATGAACAACTGAGTGAATGAATAAACCCAAGTGAAAGTTTACCAAGTAGGAAGGAGATAGTGAGATCTGCTGCACAACATTATATCTATAGTTAACAATGCTACAGTGTGTATATAAAATAAGAGTGTGTTGAGGGGAGATCTTACATTAGACATAATTTGAATTATATCCATTTTCTAGGTTAACAAGAAAAGGGGAAATACAGGGAGAATGACTCAGATTTATGGTGAGGATTTCTCCCTGAAATGGAAATTTCACTCACGTTTTAAATCAGGACAAATATTGGAACACTAGAACAGAAACAGTGGAATAGTTAGTTCTCCAAAGGAAATAACCTATAATTGGAAATGAAGAGGGGAATTTTATATTCTTCATTTTATTTTTTTAATCTTCACCCAAAGATATTTTCCATTGCCTTTTTTTGTTTGTTTTTTTGAGAGAGAGAGAGAGAGAGAGAGGGAATGGGAGGGAGAGGGAAAGACAGAGAGAGAAACATGAAAGACAGAGAGAGAGAAACATCCATCAATATGAGAGAGACACATTGATTGGTAGCCTTCTGCACAGGGACTGAGATTGAGCCTGCAACCGAGGTACATGCCCTTAAGTGGAATAGAACCTGGGCCCCTTCAGTCTGTGGGCCAATGCTCTACCCAGTGAGCCAAACCATCTAGGGCAGTAGTCGGCAAACTCATTAGTCAACAGAGCCAAATATCAACAGTACAACGATTGAAATTTCTTTTGAGAGCCAAATTTTTAAAACTTAAACTATATAGGTAAGTACAGTGTTATTCCCTTAATTAGGGTACTCCTAAGGCTTAGGAAGAGCCACACTCAAGGGGCCAAAGAGCCGCATGTGGCTCACAAACCGCAGTTTGCCGACCATGGATCTAGGGCAAGAGTTTGAGATTTTTAAATACAAGAAAAGGAATATAAAATAATAAACTAGAAACAAAAGAAAGTGCCTCTAAGAGAAAATATACTAAAACTGTGTTTATTTGACATCAGACATGAAAAATGTCTATAAAAAAATTAAAAATCCATTTGATCAATTAGCTGATGCCAAGTATCCATATGTAACATTCCTCTATAATTTTTCATTTATTGGGTTATGTACAGCACAGTTTAAGAGAGAGAAATGGAATATATTATAGGAAGATTTTGCTCTTTGTTCTTCATTCTTTGCATTATTCAATGCAAAGCTTAATATAACCTAGTTGTATCCTCAAATTGCTTATAGCCTACAAAAGGAAATAGGACATATTTATAATAACCTATTTGAAAAAGTTTAAAAAGTAACTAAAGGAGCTTACAAGGAAAATGCAATAAGAGACCTGAGGTAAGGCCATTGCAAATGGTTGAATAGTCTGTGCCTGTATCATAACTCTAGATCAGTGGTTCTCAACCTTCTGGCCCTTTAAATACAGTTCCTCATGTTGTGACCCAACCATAAAATTATTTTCGTTGCTACTTCATAACTGTAATGTTGCTACTGTTGTGAATTGTAACATAAATATCTGATATGCAGGATGGTCTTAGGCGACCGACCCCTGTGAAAGGGTTGTTCGACCGCCAAAGGGGTCGTGACCCACAGGTTGAGAACCGCTGCTCTAGATATTGGTCTGGGTGGAATCCCTTAGAATTATACTATGCAAATCCATAAACAGTTGCTTTATTTGCAGTGAGAGGAAAATCACTAGCAATCAGAGAAAGGCTTCATTGTGCGGGTAATGGAGGTAGCATTGGTACTGAGGTAGATGTTAAATGATGGTTAAAATTTTCTTAGCACAGGTGAGGGGTAATCTGGATGCTGCAAGTGGTACGAGCTAATTCCGAGAGACCAAGTATGGACTGTGTTCCAGACTCAGGTTGTCCAGTCAGACTCCAGTGGAGGTCACACATAAAGCATTAAAGGGCTGAGAAGAAAGCGTAGGATCCGTTTGAAAAATTCTAAGCATGGGCCTTACACTCTACTGAGTAACAGAAGGAGCTGTTGGAGGGCTCAGAAGAGATGTGAGTGATACAATCAAAGCAGAGTTTTAGGAAAGTAATCAGATGTAGTGAGGCCAGATAACCGCGAGTGGTGAACTAGAATCAGGGGGTCCACTTAGGAGGCCCATCTTCTACCAGTGGTTCTCAACCTTCCTAATGCCGGGACCCTTTAATACAGTTCCTCATGTTGTGGTGACCCCGTATTTCATTGTTATAAATTGAACATAAGTAAAGCATAGTGATTAATCACAAAAACAATACGTAATTATATATGTGTTTTCCAATGGTCTTAGGCAACCCCTGTAAAAGGGTCGTTTGACCCCCCAAAGGGGTCGCGACCCACAGGTTGAGAACCGCTGTATCTCTACACAGACGTGCTAGAATGATGACCTGAACTAGGGTTGGGGCCATGGAAACAGGAAAACTTGCGCCATTTTGGAGACATTGCAGTAAAAAAAAATCAACAATTCCTAGTTACTGATGGGATGTGAGGCTCGACGTTCCACGGAGGTCGTAAGGGTGACATGGAGCCTTTGGGACTAACCAGATAGTGGTGCCGTGAAAAGAAAATAGAAGGAGCTGTTAGTAAATATTGACCTGTGGCCAAATACGAGAGACTGGAATTCAGAGAACAGTCAGGGCTGCATTTGGGAGTCTTCTACAAGGAATTTTAATTGAGACCTTGGTAGAAGGACCGCATAGTCACCCAGAAGGCCCGGGGTGGTTGATAGTAAATAGCACAAGTTTGTAGACACTGGGTTAGCAGTTCTTATTGACTTACCCCAGCATGGTAAGAGTAGGAAATAGTTCTTATTATAATGAGGCTGGTAGAGAGATTTCCTAAAAGAAACCCAATCTGGAAGTTTCCTATAGATCTAAGCCAGAATGTAACAGATCCTAGAATTGGAGTACTGATGGGTATGAGTTGAGCAAGCTGGGTCATTGAGCGAACAGTTCCTGGGAGTGATTGGTTACCAAGTGGCAAGGATAGGACTCTTCACTAGGTATTTCCTAAGAATTTCTGGAGCTTTGGAGTTTTTGTTTTTGAGCTCTCTTTTTATAGACACATTGTAATGCCGAGGATTAGAAGGGATTAAACTTGGGTTCAAGCCTTGACTCTGAAGATTTAACTAGCTGTAAGTTCCTGAATGAGTCAATTGTCTTTTAAGCCCAAGTTTTTCACATATAACAAGGGGATAATAATACTCACCCTGCTTATTTCATGAGGTTGTTGTAAAAAGCCAGAGAATTATTATAAAAATTGTAGTTTTATTCTCTGGGAAAACAGTTGCCAGCTTTCGAGTTTCTTTTCTTTGCTAAATAATCCAGGGACAAAATAAGAAATAGATTTGTAATCTTGCTTTTCTATATTTAAATTTATAATTTTAAATTATTCATAGCTTTTACATATATCTATATACAATATATTCAGATATAGATATAGATATAAATATAGGTAGATAGATATAGGTATAGGTATAGATATAGATAGATATAGATATCTTTGCTCTTCCCTCTTGCTTTTCTAACTAAACTTTGCTTTTAAAATATCTGCTATGTATTTTGGATTTCTCTTAATGCCTCCTAGTTTTCCTTCAGGATTTAATTCTGCATTCCTAAACACCGGTTCTCTAGTTCCTAAATTTCTATGTTTGATAAATTGTCATATAACATGGTTTTTAGTATACTGCATTTAGAAAGTCTGGGAAAAATACTGTACTTCTTATCACTCGCACTATTGAATTTCATACATAGCTTAAAACCAGTGATCTGATTTGGGGAGTGATAAATAAGTACAGAGATAAGGGGGAAAATAGTGAGTAGGGAAGAAAAGAAATGCAAAAATGCACATTTATTTAGGGTTGTGGTTGAAGATAACATGAAGATACTGTCTATAATAAAAATAAATAGACAAGGAAGTACAAATATTTCACTCAAAAGTTGCAAAATCTGAAAGCTAAGTCCAAAGCTCAGTGGTCTAACACCAGCGCAGAAGAACTAAAACAAAGCCTGGCTTTCATGATTGGACAAGTACAGTAAGCGGTGCCCAGGCAAATGAACCTCCCAGATGCTTTGTCAGGATGTGGTGCCAGGATTTCTGTCTTTCTGTTGTCTGTTTGACAGGATTGAGTGAGATCTTGCTGCTGCTATTTCCTCCATTGGGAGAAACCATTGCTAGAACCTGGCAGGCAGTCCAGATACTGGCACTGCGCAATGACCAGGAAGCTGTTACTGGCTGGGCCTCTGACCAGCTTCTCCACCTGTCCCAGCTATCTCTTTTATGCTACTCCATCTCAGTCCACTTCACCTCTCTCTAAACACCACTGCCTTTGTCCTTCAAGCCCTCTCCCCTCACAACCTGTCTGCTACCTTTCCACAGCCTTGTTTGAGAAATTCAAGGCTACATCGGTTAAGAACCCTCTAACCACAAATAATAGAGAATCTATGGGATGCTTTGGGTATGAAAGCCACAGGATATCCATTCATCCTTTCTTACATGCATGAAATAGTTATTGAGTATTATTTTATGTCAGGCACTGTACTAGGTATTGAAATACGGCAGTAAGTAAAAAAGATAGACAAAGCTCCATATATTCAATAGGAGCAGACAAGCAATAAACAATAAAACATTTCAGATAATGTTCAATATTACCAGGGAGAGCATAGAGAGTGACTGATCACTGCATCTAGGAAAACATTTGTCAAGTCATTTTAGGCTGTGTAATTGAAACATACATTGTAATCTGAATCTAATTCTCTAGTCACATGAGTTTATGTAATGGGAATGAAAAGGAGGCAGAAAGCAGATATAGACCATAATCTCTCTTTTTGTCTTTTCTCTCTAGGTGGGTAACAGTTCATGTTTGCTTCATAAATGAAGCCGCTTTAAACAAATTCATATTCTGTCTGGAGTGACAGACTGCGTCTTTTCCTGTTCTTGCTACCCATGACTCTATATGGATGATTCAGAAATTGGAACAAAGTGTTTTACTGTGAAACTGGCACTGAATTAATCATCTATAAAGAAGAACTTGCATGGAGCAGGACTCTACTCTAAGGACCTGGGGGACTTGTAGTGTCATTTAGAACCTGCAACTGATGTTGGGAGAGAAAGCACGTATCCCAGACTGCACGCCCATTTTGCATGCCTCCAGAAATGTCTAATAGCTGAAAACCACATAGCTTTATTTTTTGTTACAACCTGCAGTTTGTAGTTATCTCGGTCCCTTCAAGTAGCGTTCAAGCTGGATAATTGCGGTAATAATTTTTCTTCAAAGGGATCTAGAAGAATTTTAAAGACAAAAACTCGATAGCATCAGCCACTGCACATATTCAAAGCAGAGGAGGAAAAAGTGATTGGAGTGGGTATCACGTCAGCTTCTTAGCCGCTAATGATATGGGTCTGATCTCAAGTCTCTTCCTGTTGTAAAACACGCTCACCCACATCGCAGGAGACAAAGGGGCACGGTCAGCTGGTGCTGAATTGGAACAGTGATGCCTTTGCAGCGGGGAGAGCCCCCAAAGAGTCATCGCACGAAGAAGCTATGAAAACTGAACAACAGGGCAGTCGCCGAGGAGGACATTTGTCTCCCCTGGTGCGGGCGGCCTTTTCCCTTGACCACTGTCGGGTGTATAAATCATGCTTGCAAAATATATTACAAAATGTTTATATTCTAAAACTATTACAGAGTTATAGAAAGGGACTTAGGAGAAATTGCTGAATGTGTGAAGGTCCTGTTTTTGATTTCCGCCATGGGAGAGAGTAAAAATAAATTATGATATTTAGTATGTAAGGTTAGAAAACCACAACACCCACATGCTGATATGGGTGTTGAAACTAGTTTACTTGGCTTTTTATAAGAATGCAAGGAATCAGGAAACTCTACTTATTTATAGTATAACCACCATTATCTGTTTTAAAGGATCCATTTATTTAAAATCAGGCACTCTCTATCCATTAAGGTTTATGAATTAAATAAAAAGAGAGCTTTATGTAGTTATGCATGTCAGTTTGCTATTTAAAATGTGTGACAGCGTTTGTCATATTAAGAGTGAATTTGGCAGGAATTCCCAAGATGGACGTTGCGCTTTTAAACTAGAACTTGTGAGACATCATGTGAATTTCCCTTGCCAATTTCTTTTTATGGTCAAAGAAACATCTGACTACAGTGAAAGAATGATTTCTAATGACTTATTTTGGAGAAGGTTCTCTTATTCTATCATGAGCATGCACATAAAGGAATCCAAAGCTTGCCATTATCACTTACTCCTTATAACAACATTATTGCCATGTACTCCCACCATCAGATGACCATCTCCAATGTAGTGATACAAAAGGGCATGAAAAACTGCTACTTTCCTTTGATTTCTAAAGTCTAAGAATTTCTAGTGTAGTTGGATTTTAGCTTATGTTCAAAGCTAATCCAAATACAACTTCAATACGTGGCCTTTGATCTCTTTTTGTACCAAAGAGCCCAAATGCTTTCTATGATCCCTTCCTTCTGTGGTTCCTCAAACACTAGTCATTTTTTTCTAAAATATAAGCCAGTGCTTTGGAAGCTGCATTACCTTATTTAGGCCCTCAGATATCCCGTGGTATAATCAATTAGTAATAGAACCAGAGATCAGTTTAATTGCTGAAAGGACCTGTCTCGAGCATGTGACAGGGATTGTTTTGAGAAAAATAGACATAGGTGAATGCAAGTGACGTGAGTAGGTCATAAGTAGATTGAGAAAATTGATAAGTAATAGTTCGACTTGTTTCACCAATGGTTTCAATTTTCTTAGGCATGTGGCACTGCTGTTTAATGAGCTTGAGAGTACAATAAGTGTACTTTTGTTCTCAGCTAATAGCTGGATTTTAATATTCAAGGACAGGGTCCTAATCAATGGAGTTAAAGAAACAAATTCAGCAACTTATGAAATCTGGCATAGTTGGCGAGGGGAGCTATGTTCTGCCTAATTAAATGTATTGGTTCATTGAGAGGTAGATGGATTACCAATTTTTAAAACACTGAAGTTTCATAAAATTCATGAACAATAAAAAAATGCTGAACATTATTTTAGATGGTAGCTGCTTGGGCATTAACTGTGTCATATCTGCTTTAAGATAGGAAAAAATATATATTATCTATATCTTTGCTTTGTCTTATCTGGCATATGTTTGAATATTCTTCTTTATAAATCAGTGTTTCGAAATTGCCTTTTAAAATGATCTCAAAAGTCTACCAATTCTAAATTATACCTAAAGCTTTGCACCATTTTGGTAGAACCCAAGTTTATAAAGAATTGGCTTGCACGGCCAGCATGGCCCAGTGGTTGAGTGTCAACCTATGAGTTAGGAGGTCACGGTTCGATTCTGGGTCAGGGCACATGCCCGGGTTGCAGGCTCGATCCCCAGTGTGAGGTGTGCAGGAGGCAACCAATCAATGATCCTCTCTCATCATTGATGTTTCCATCTCTCTCTCCCTCTCCTTTCCTCTCTGAGATCAATAAAAATATATTTTTTAAAAAAAGAAAGAAACTGACTTTGTGATAAACTGTTCCTGCCCAGTGATATCAAAGTGTTCCTGAATTTTGTATTATTATCTAAGGTGCTCACCACACTGCCACTTTTTAAAGAGTCAGATACAAATTGGTTGTTTTAAAATACAATAATAGATTAAGTACCCTATCCTCTTTAGAAAGGATTTAGCATGTGAAAAAATGAAAAAGCAGGTGTCCATAATGAAGTGTTTGTTTTAGTAACAAACACCTTTCATTGAGCATTAAAATACTTTGGAGAAATTTTGTGGCATATTTTGGAACTTTAATTCAATTGAAGTTAAATTTTAAAAAAATTATTCAGAATTCATGGATATTTCTTAATATTTTTCTGAAGCTAGGTTTTGGTTTCAAAATGTAATTCCAATGTAAGGCTTTTAGCCATTTCATATATATGCTTCTTTAACTAAAAATTATTTTTCCAAAAGGCAGTTTGGCATAATGGGATAAATGTTGGGAAAAACTGTAAGAAACCTCTGCTATTAACTGAAATAGGTCAATCACCTCCCTCACTGGTTCTCAGTTTTGTAATTATCTATATGATGAACTCTGAGGGCTCACATTAGATGGGAAGCCTATTGATATATGACTGACAATAGAGCTGAAACTGTCTCATGAAAAATATCCAACTCTGAATAAGCAATTTGACCATAAAAAGTCATTGCTGTTCTTGTTTGTAATGTAAATAAGGTCCATTAGTAAAAGTGAAATTCAGTCTCATGTACAGTGAATTGGATAACCATTTACACAGAGATGGCATTTGCTTTGCTTAAATGAATGTTTTGGGATCACTTCTGAAGAATGAACAGCATTACTGCATTTTAGTCGGGAAGAGATACTATAAGATGTGTGTAACATTTGGAAATGTACCAAATTATGCATTTAAATCTTCTCATTTTCTTAAAAGCTAACAGCAGAAAATGTAAGATGCTCATAAAGTTTCTTGAATGCCAAAAGGTAATTTAGAATCCATTTGGAAAGAGGAAATTCATAAATTTCATTTTAAATTGGAAAGTGGGATAAGAATTTTAAAATAAGCTAGCTTGTCTTTGAAACAATATTATTTTTACATTGGCATTAAAATATAAACATTCAGATTGAAATTCTAACTAGTTCATTTATAGTTTCAGCTCACACTCTATGGTGTAGCTGCTTTCCATGAACAAATCTGGAAATGCCCTTGTTTGTAAAGATAAAGTAATAGTACTTTCATTTCCTAACAAGCTATTGTCTTAGAAATAATCCATATTAAAATGGATTTTCATGATCCTAAAATGTTTGCGAAGCATTGTAAACTGATAACCGCCATCTCCAACTACACCCTTATGATTTTGTTTAAATAAAATTAAGATAACTGTTTAAACTAAAAACCATAGTATTTTTCAGTTACTTGATTTCTGAGCTGTAAGACTAACTAAATAACATTTTCCAATCAAAATATCTTATTCTCCTGTGTTCTAAGGGTTAATGTGTGATTATAGTGTCCCACTTGCCACAGTTTTTTAAATCGGTAGACATGAAAAGTATTCAGACATTTAGATGGATGCACAGATATATTGCTAGTTCAGTCAGATTGGAGTTTGCATATTGTAATGTAAATGTATGTCAACACTATTCTAAATAGTTTTATTATGACTGAAGTTTAATTAAATAAAAAAGGTTGTAAAATGTGATGTGTATGTGTATATACTGTATGTGTACTTTTTAAAATAGGTATATGTCCTGACCTTTTTTATACAGGTTTGAATTTGAAATTACATTATATATACATATACTTTATTGTTCTAAATAAAGAATTTTATGCACTCTCATAAATTTGCCCTGTCATTTGCTATTTTAAGGTTACCACATACATTCACAGCATGGTTCAATATTTAAGCTAAAATCAAATTTTTCTATGGAAACTTTGTCAGTAATCTAGATTTTAGTGTAATATGGACAGAAGAAATTAAGAAATCATTTTAATTCAATAATTATTTATTGGTCCCTAAAATATATGTTAATCAGGGAAGATAAAATTGAATTAACACATTGTTTGATATCAAGAAGTTTCTAACTTAGTTGGAGAGACGATATGAAAACCACTGTAGACATAAAGACACATTGAAGTAACTACCTAAGTGTAAATATGAGGTCCAATTCATGTGCTTAGGGCATGCAGGAAAGAGAAATGGACACAGAAGAGGGAAGATCATGGAGAAGTTGGTGTCTAGGCTAACACAAGGATGAAACAAATTTTCATAGAGAAGGAGAATTATGCCCAGTATTCCTGAGAGCAAGAACTTCTAAAATTCTCAGCTTATTTCCTGAAATCAAGCTAGTGTGTCCTGAGCCTATCCTACATAATAAAAGGCTAATATGCAAATTGTCCCCTTGGGAGTTCAACCAGGACACCAGGAGTTCAATCGCTCACTATGATGTGCGCTGACCACCAGGGGGCAGCACAGAACATGGCGGGTGACCAGCAGTGGCAGTGGGGCACTGAGGGAGCAAGGGAAGGATGAGGCAGGGAGGCCAGGAGGCAGGGAACCTGATCACCGGCCAGGCCTACGGACCCTACCCATGCACAAATTTCATGCACTGGGCCTCTAGTAGAGCATAATGAAACTTGTAGAAAGATAAGTTTCCTTGCCTTGAATGCTGTAACAAAGAGGGAAGACATTTTTCTTAAGGGCAATGGGAAGCCGGTATATGTTTCTAAGAGGAATGGCAAAAATCAAACACCATTATGGCTTACGTGATTTAGAGAATGAATGACCATCCTGATTAATCTTGGGTTGGTATCTGACTCTTGAGACCAAGACCCCAGCTTTGACACACTGAATTCACCCACCATTTTTTACAATTTCTTTGCTGATGCCCCCTCTTCAGCTCACCCTTTATATTAACTCCCACCAATGTAAGCCTAGCCAACTACAATAGCCTCCTAACTGATCACATGCCATGATTCAGCCTTTCCTCAATCAGTTCCTCACATTAGAATAGCTGTACAGAGAGTGAATGGAGACATATGATGATATTTTTCTCTGGTTAAAACACTTCATTGGTTTCTCATTTTCACGGTAAAACGCAAATTCATCTACATGGCTTCCAAAGCCCTCCTCAATCTA